GAGTTACTTCCTTGCGTTGACAATTTAAATGCGCTGCATTATTTTGCTCATTTCGCCCTCCTGTGGCCTCGGGAGACAAGACAAAAGTTTCCTTAAGACCTATTTAATCTGCATATAAAACATTAGAAATTAGATATTTGTGTAATTTTTATTTTGTGTTTGATTGTTAAAGCAAAAAATATTTGTTGTTTGTCTCAATAAATTGGGTTAATTTAAAAATACAGTGGTTAAATTTAAAAAAAAATGTCTATTGCTCTTTGTTAAAAAAAATGTTATAAAAAATGTCAATAATTATCGATACTGAACGATATGAAACATCATATCGTTGATCTTTTTTTTAAGCTATATCGCCCAGCCCTAGGCCGCCGAGTGAAATTACTTGTCTTAAAGGGACTTTGTCTCAGCCTAGATTTCCAGCTCTGGAGTGTCTAATAATGTGCGCGAGTGCCCGTCTGTTTATAAGAACACCATCCATAGTGTCTGGATAGAAGGGTTGACATGCATTTTTTTTTTCTCCATGATGGGTGTCATTGTTGTAAAAGTTTTTGACGAAACTGTGAGAGGTGTTGCACACTGGAGCGAGTTGAATCTGAAATGCAATCGTTAGCTCCCACCTTACGAGCCCACATTTGCCGTCTTGCAAAATTACACTTTTTGGGGTTCAGAAGTGGGGCATTGCACAATTATACAGTACTAAGTTCTAGATGAAGGGTTGGATTTCAGAGCAGTGCTGGCTTTATTGAGAGAATATTTGATGATCTCAGGTGTCTGTGTTGGTTGGCAGGTTTTGAGGTTTGATGGACCTGTTTATTTAAGTCAAAATGCCGGGTTGGGAAGCTCACATTACTGAACATCAGCTTTAGCTAAGCCCCAAACCGGGAGACCTTTAAAGCGAATAAGGCTCATATGATTCCATCTTCTTGTCATATCATTTTCTTTGCTCTTTTAAAATAAGATTTTGATGTATTATGTAGAGAGGCTCTTTAAAGTTCACAATCTGAAGCTTCCTCCCTTGTCTAACTAGACCATTTTATTGAAACTAAGTTGCAGAAACATTTGGTTTACAAATTGTAATATCACAACCACGCATATTAGCATATGACTGTCTGTGTTTACATGTTGACACTTGTTCAGGATTCAGAAACTCAGCCTGCCCTGATGAAAGACAGTGTGAGCGAGTGGCCATGTTTAAAAAAATAAAAATAGAAGTAGGACGTTTACATATAGTGGGGTTAAAGGTAGTGCAAAAAATGGCTTTAAATTAATTAATTTATTTATTTAAAATAATGAATTTTATTTATGTTTTATTTAATTTAATTTTATCTTTATTTAAAAAATGTTTATCCATTTACTTAGAGTAAATAAATAGTTTTTAGTTTTGTGTTTAAAAATAAATGAATAATTGTATTTAGTTTTATTTATTTTTTAAATATATTTTTTATGTATTTATAATAAACAACTGATTTTATGTATGTATGTATTTTATTTTATTTATTTATTTATTTAATAAATGGTTTTATTTATTAAATTATTTTTGGCCACCTTTATCTATTTTGCCCCAACATGGTCTTATAAGGGTGAAATAGGGGTGAAAATGGAAATTTAAACTAAATTACAGGAAGGAAAGAATTTGCTTCAAATATGTTGGATATACCTGGTTTAATTGATTTGCTGATTTTGCAGCATGGGCAGAATCTGGGTCAAAGTCGGTGAAACCGTACAAGCTGCTCATTATTTAAAATAGCTATAAAAAAACAAAAAAAAACAGCCAAACTTACTACTAAAAGTAATGAACTTAGATATGTTTACACTAAATACAACTGAGCAGATAATATGCTAATTTAAATAACCGACTGAAAAATAAATGAAACTGTTAAGTGTTGTTTTTTTGTAGTGATTTACATTAACTTTTTAAATAGAATTATTCTAACAATTCAGCATGACACACTAGATAAATTATTACAATAGCTAGAAGGGCTGCAGAGTGTAATATTAAACACTGTTGTAAGTGATTTTGTCACGCTATATTATATAGAAAAATGTGTTTGTTGCTGCTGAAGAATGTAGTTGTTTAGTTCTTCTCAAAAAATTCCATATATTCTGCACAGCATTGAAAATTATATTTTTCTCTTGAGTTATACATTTGCTGATTTAGGTTAACCATGGTCGTGTGTAACTGACAGTAGTGCCAGAATTCATTCTATTCTGTCCGAGTTGTAAAAATCCCAACATATATTCTGAAATATTGTATGTGTCAAAGAGTGAGAACTCATGAATCCTCGTCTTTGTTCTGGAAATGTCACACCATGTTACAGTAGCGTTTCCTTCAGGGAAGACTCTCAGACTGCGTGTGTTGCGGGGGTTGAGCTGCAGAGAGCTCCGGGTGACAGAACAAAGACCTGAATGTTCCGTTCTATTCTGTTCTCTTCTGTTCTCTTCTGTTCTCTTCTGCCCTTTTCTTAAACAGAACCCACCGTCCTGTCAGACCTCTTGCCCACATGTAAAAGACAGTGTGAGCGAGTGGCCATGTTTAAAAAAATAAAAATAGAAGTAGGACGTTTACATATAGTGGGGTTAAAGGTAGTGCAAAAAATGGCTTTAAATTAATTAATTTATTTATTTAAAATAATGAATTTTATTTATGTTTTATTTAATTTAATTTTATCTTTATTTAAAAAATGTTTATCCATTTACTTAGAGTAAATAAATAGTTTTTAGTTTTGTGTTTAAAAATAAATGAATAATTGTATTTAGTTTTATTTATTTTTTAAATATATTTTTTATGTATTTATAATAAACAACTGATTTTATGTATGTATGTATTTTATTTTATTTATTTATTTATTTAATAAATGGTTTTATTTATTAAATTATTTTTGGCCACCTTTATCTATTTTGCCCCAACATGGTCTTATAAGGGTGAAATAGGGGTGAAAATGGAAATTTAAACTAAATTACAGGAAGGAAAGAATTTGCTTCAAATATGTTGGATATACCTGGTTTAATTGATTTGCTGATTTTGCAGCATGTGCAGAATCTGGGTCAAAGTCGGTGAAACCGTACAAGCTGCTCATTATTTAAAATAGCTATAAAAAAACAAAAAAAAACAGCCAAACTTACTACTAAAAGTAATGAACTTAGATATGTTTACACTAAATACAACTGAGCAGATAATATGCTAATTTAAATAACCGACTGAAAAATAAATGAAACTGTTAAGTGTTGTTTTTTTGTAGTGATTTACATTAACTTTTTAAATAGAATTATTCTAACAATTCAGCATGACACACTAGATAAATTATTACAATAGCTAGAAGGGCTGCAGAGTGTAATATTAAACACTGTTGTAAGTGATTTTGTCACGCTATATTATATAGAAAAATGTGTTTGTTGCTGCTGAAGAATGTAGTTGTTTAGTTCTTCTCAAAAAATTCCATATATTCTGCACAGCATTGAAAATTATATTTTTCTCTTGAGTTATACATTTGCTGATTTAGGTTAACCATGGTCGTGTGTAACTGACAGTAGTGCCAGAATTCATTCTATTCTGTCCGAGTTGTAAAAATCCCAACATATATTCTGAAATATTGTATGTGTCAAAGAGTGAGAACTCATGAATCCTCGTCTTTGTTCTGGAAATGTCACACCATGTTACAGTAGCGTTTCCTTCAGGGAAGACTCTCAGACTGCGTGTGTTGCGGGGGTTGAGCTGCAGAGAGCTCCGGGTGACAGAACAAAGACCTGAATGTTCCGTTCTATTCTGTTCTCTTCTGTTCTCTTCTGTTCTCTTCTGCCCTTTTCTTAAACAGAACCCACCGTCCTGTCAGACCTCTTGCCCACATGTTTGTTTGGTGTCACCTTTTGGGCCGGAACCAAGGCTGCTAGAACAGAATTGTTTTGTTTCTTCTGTATGAGAATTTAGAGATGATGTATTGAGTTTTGGAACAACTCGTACAGCAGTTATATATTAGTTTCTATGTTATATGACTAGTATCTATCTCCATTTGCAGTTCATTTGTTTGGTCCAGTTGTTTTGATGATTAAGGTCTGTCTATAGTCACACAGTTGGTCTTTTTTTTTTTTTGTGATGGGAAAAAACTAAACTATACATATCCAGTAGGGCTATATAATGTTGCTGTTAATGGGCTATATATAATGTAATGTAATAAATAATCTCATTATCAGAGTTGCTTTGATCATGATCACAGATACTTTGATGCAGTGCTTAACTAATTAAAATGATTTATTTTCTCTTGTTCTTTTTATAGACTTTGGCAACTGCAGCAGAGAATTTCCAAATGGAGCATCAATGGAAAGATGAATTTGAAGTAAGTGTTTCTACAAGTGTGTACTGAACATTTACAAGGTGCATATACAGTTATTCTATTTGATTGAATGTTTCAAATCAACTCAAGCCAGTTTTATTTGTATTGCCCTTTTACAAGACATAAAGCGGCTTTACAAGAATAGATGTTAATAGGATAATGGAATTTCTGTCATGATTTACTCACCTCTATGTTGTTTCAAACCAACACAGAAGACATTTTGAAGATATTTGGGGTCTGAGCAACAATTCACTTCTATATGGACAAAAAAATACAGACATTTATTCAAAATATCCCCTTCTGTGCTGTACTGGAGAAAAAAGGTCATATAGATTTGGAATGGCTTAAGGGTGAATAAATGATGGTAGAATTTTCATTCCTTTAAATTAATGAGAGCAATCATGCGAATCTAAATCCAAATGAATTCAAATAAACTCAGGGCTGGTTATTGCAAGGTTACTGGCGAAATTAGCCATTAACAATCACCACAAGCAGCCAAATACTGCACTATACAAATAAAAAGAAATTGAATATGCCATGCATCATGCCTTTTTTTGGGTATTATTTACATAAGACAGATTATTACATTCAAAAACAGATAGATCAAATAGAATGCAAGGGTTTCAAGAAATAGACATTTGACTATTTTTAAACTGACATGCTCAAAAACAGTGCAAGATGCAATGCAAAGGCCAAAGACGTCTGTCTTAGTGCGTCTAGCTGTAGCGTGGTGCTTTAAAGGGCATGAATTTAAAGACTTTTCTGGTGGAGAATTGTACAGTGCAACAGTCATTGCTTGCTCATTAAAACACTGCTGCTAAAAATATCAACATTAACTGGGCAACCTCCCTGATCGACTAGCTGGATGACTAGTCTACCATCTCTTCTCACAAGTGATTTGTTACTATGCAACTATATGGTGGTCTAAGTAACACGCATACCAGCATGGTTCTGGGACCTTTCAGCCAATCAGATTGCATATCCTGACTTAAAGGGATAGTTGATAGGTGAAAAATGAAAAGTTGCTGAATATTTACTCACTCTCAGGCCATCTAGAATGTAGATGAGTTTATTTCTTCACTGGACTAGATTTGGAGAATTTTAGCATTAGATTACTTTCTCACTGATGGATCCTCTGCAGTGAATGGGTGCCGTCAATGAGAGTCCAAACTGCTGATAAAATATCACAACACAACAACATGAGTCTAGCCCATCAGTTAACATAATGTGAGGTAAAAAGCTGCATGTTTGTAAGAAACATCCATCATTAAGGCGTTTTAAATTTCAATATTTTTTTTCTGGACAAAATATGAGTCCACAATCCATAGTAACCCGTCATCCATTTTTTTCCCCCAAAAAAGTCCATGCCTTTTGTCCTCTCACGTCAAAATCCATTTGATTTGTTTTGAACTGTTTTAGATTGTCATACGGTGTTTGATCTGTGCATAGTTCTCTCCTGATTCAGATGATACAACTTTTTTTTACTGGAGAAAGCAATTTTATGTAGAGAGGACCTATTTTAGGTGGAAGCAATGGTTTGAAGTTAAAAATGTCTTAAGGATGGATTTTTTTATTACAAGCATGCAAAAATACCCCAAAATTATCCAACCTTTAAATGGATAGTTCCCCCCAAAATTTAAATTCTTTAATTATTCACTTACTCTTATGTTGTTCCAAACCTGTTTGACTTTTTTCCCCTTCTCTGCAACATAAAAGAGGATATTTTGAGAAAAGTCTTAGGGTTTTTGTATGACAAACAATAGAAATCAATGATAGCCAAAGCAGTTTGGATACCAACATTCTTCAAAATATCTTCTTTAGCATTCCACAGAAGAAAGTCAGTCATGCAGGTTTGGAATGACATGAAGGTACATAAATGATGATAGAGATTTTATTTATTTATTTTATTTTTTTGGTGATCACTTTAACAGTTGCATTCAGTTAAAAAAAATAGTATCAGTTTGCATCCTGCACATTAAAGTTTATTTAAGGCAATGGAAGACATCTTAGATGACTTACTTGATCACAAGAATAAATTCTGAAGTCTTATGCAGATTTTTAATTAGATCATTCCAAATGAAGACTACAGGCAGGGGATGCTTTTGAAATTGATAAAACCTCCGCTCGGTTTCACTGCTAAATGCTTTGGTGTGTTAGACCTCTTCGTTTAGTTAAATGAAATCATGAGCCATTCAATTAAATGCAAACAAGTGAATAAATTGACAAATAAATAAATAATCTGATTGTACCAATGGCCAGAGTGTTTTTCCTCTGTGTGTATGTGAGTTTGTGTTTAAGTGGGGGAATGTGTTGCAGCTTAATGGATCTAATTTCACTTCCCACACTCCCTGCAGATGTCGGAAGATTTGATTTCACTGAATACACATTCTGCATTTCTCCCGCGGATTTATTTTTACTGTAGACACACATGCACGCACACACACCCACCATATGCTGTGAATGATGAAAAATGCCTGACCCCGACAACATGATGGCCCAGAGCAGTTTAACATCAGCAGGTTATCCTGACCACTTGCTGCAAAACCTGGCATGACCAAGCTTTCTTTAGATCTCCTTAATGCATTTCACACTTGCTATAAAGCAAATGTATGATCTGTGATCAGATCTGTGGAACACATGCTGTATGCATACTTGGCTTAGTACAGTGATACTGCCACTGTATGAATTGCATGATGGGTAGGTTTTCTGAGGACCCATCACAGTCATACTGTACGGGTTAAAATATCTGGGCTGGTAACCAAAAGGTTGCAGGTTTGAACCCCATAATAGTTAGTGCATTTATTTATGCACTAATAATAATTATTGTTTTATTTAAAAAAAATTTATTTAAATTATTTTATTATTATTATTTTATTTTAATTTTTTGCAGTGGTTAAGAGCTCACTAAAGGGGAAGAATATTGTATATATGTGACCCTGGACCACAAAACCAGTCTTAAGTCGCTTGGGTATATTTTTAGCAATAGCCAAAAAAAACATTGTATGGGTCAAAATTATCGATTTTTTTAATGCCAAAAATCATTAGGATATTAAGTAAAGATCATGTTCCATGAAGATATTTTGTAAATTTCCTACTCTAAATATATTAAAACTTGATTTTTTTGCACCCTCAGATTCCAAATTTTCAAATAGTTGTATCTCTGCCAAATATTGTCCTATCCTAACAAATCCCATACATCAATGGAAAGCTTATTTATTCAGCTTTCAGATGAAGTATAAATCTAAATTTCGAGAAAATTACCCTTATGACTGGTTTTGTGGTCCAGGGTCACATATAGCCTATGAGTTGAATGGACAACTTTACGATATCTTAATGGTGGTTTTACATTCTTGCCTGAAAAATTTTCCTTTCTTTTAATTATCATATTTTTCTCTTTCTCTGCAGGAGGATGATATAGTTTACTTTAATGCCAAGGATAATGTGAGTATATAATTCAAGACTCTTCTGCACACAGACACGCTCAGCGGTTTTTTCAAGCGCAGATACTATATCAAACATGAATACCATGAGCTCTTCTGTCCAGTTATGATCATGCGTTAGTGAGCTTATGTGTGAGTTATTTCAGGCAGTCGAGATATGATGATAATATATCTTCTCAGTTGACGCAGACTCGGCTGGCGAATACACACTCTCTGTGTGCCATACATCTCAACTGCCAATTAGGATGTGTCTGTGTAAAACACATGGTGGGAGCGTGTGCACTGGTGTGTAAAATACAAGACGGAAAGTAAAGCAGGAGGCACATATAGAGAAAATGAGGTTTTATTCATCAATGTGCAAAGCACTAGTTTGGAACAGATACAGTACCTGCAGTGCAAAGCATAATAAGATGATTATATTGATAGATTAAATGGCTAGAGATTTATTTTGAGATTGATATTTGTTGTAAGCTTTCAAATTTCATGTATTCATTTGAATAAAGGAGATTTCATTGGAATTTGATTCGTGACCAACTAATCTATCAGACAGGTCAAATAAAATTTATGGAGAATTATGGCAATTTTGTGTACATCTTACATTTGTGCACAAACTAATATTAAAGGGACAGGTCCCCCAAAAATGAAAATTGTTATCATTTGCTCATCCACATGTTGTTCAAAACCCATGACTTTTTCTTCTGTGGAACACAAAAGGTTACTTCATTTTGTGAATGAATTGTTCTTTTGAGTCTAATCTTTTCAGTGAATCGGTGTATCCAGTTCACAGAGCCAGTCTGGTTCTTGAGTTCTCAAATCTCTTACTCAATAAAGTTGCAGTGGTTAATAGCTGACAAAACGAGAAGAATATCATTTGTAACTTTTAACTTATTTTGGTCTGTTGTCACACAAACTATTGTATGGCTTCAGGAGACATGAAATTTGATGTTTGAATTGTATGGACCACTTATGATACCTTAATGGTGTTTTTATATCCTTTAATGATGCCTGAAAACTTTAGTCTCCAATGTAGATCAAAGAAAGACATATGGCTTTGAAATGAGTAAATGACGACATCTTTTTTTCCTGATTTTTCTGTGCATATACCATTGAACATTTTGGAATCTTTAAGATTAAAAAAAACAGTAATTTTGTGAAATATTATTTAAATTTAAAATAAATATATTGAATATAAACTTAATATTAATTAAGTTCCAACACACTATTCCTGTGTTGGCAAAGCTGATTTTTTTTTTTTTATATGCTGATTTGGTGCTTAAGAAACATATCTCATTATTATCAATGTCGAAAACAGTTCTCCTCAATATTTTGCTGAAACGTTGATAATTTTTTTTTAATGGACAAAGAAATTACAGCATTTAATTGAAATCATACCGTACCAGAGTTGATTGCTGTTGTTTCTCTTCCAGCTTGAAGCCAATGAAACAGAAGGAAGGAAAAACCGGATCAGACCTGCATTTAAAGAAGACCCGTCATTCAAAAACCGCCTCACCTCCTACAACCATACGGCAGTGCATATCCCCACGGACATATATGACGGCTGTAAGTAACTCCCCCACCCCCCACAGACACGCTAGCGCTCTGCCTGCTCCACCGTAACATATTATCTACTGCTGGGAATCTGATGAGACGCTCTGCTGCTGATTGCTTTGGATGTCAGTTATAAAACGGAATATAAGTGTGTCTTTGGAAGAGCTTTTGGAGGAGAATTATAGAATCCATTTGACAGAAAAGACTCTCTGGGGAAACTTTTGTCAGAATAAGTGCAGGTGCACTTGTTTGGATAAGCCCAAGGTATGCGTGTGCATCTATTTAAACTAAATTTCACAATGCTTTTTAAGCAGGGATAGTAGGCTGGCCAAGCCATAGAGTCTCAGTTGGCCTGCTGGGATAGCGTCTGGCTCTTTGGTGTTAGACGGCTCTTCCCTATTGACCTTGTCATACACACTCACACACAAATGGAAGGCAAATAAATTCAGGTAATTACTTTGGCCATTGTGCCCTTTGGTAAACAGAGTAGTGGGGTATTTGAAATGACATCAGGTCAGACAGATGTGCTCTGCGGTGAGCATAATGTTACATGGAGGATGAGTTTGCCACCTTTTTAAATACAGAATACCGAATCACTTTAGAAATATAGTGATGCTTCAGTCTCTTAGCACTGTTTCCAAGTCTTTCCGACACATGCTGACAGAGGTGGCTGCCCCTGTAATTTAAGAAGGGAGTTTCCTCGTCGCTTGTCTTGTAATTGTATACCATTTTATGCAATTATCTGTGAGTCATTTCCTAATCCTATATTGCCATTTCTAATTTTATGTGTGAGTAATTTACTACGACTAAAGTGGAACTATTGCAAGTATACTTCAGGTAAACTTTAAATATCTTGAATTTCAAGATATTATACAGAGATCATACAATCCTTATTAATAGTGATATTAAAACAGTTCTCCTCAATATTTTGCTGAAACGTTGATAATTTTTTTTTAATGGACAAAGAAATTACAGCATTTAATTGAAATCATACCGTACCAGAGTTGATTGCTGTTGTTTCTCTTCCAGCTTGAAGCCAATGAAACAGAAGGAAGGAAAAACCGGATCAGACCTGCATTTAAAGAAGACCCGTCATTCAAAAACCGCCTCACCTCCTACAACCATACGGCAGTGCATATCCCCACGGACATATATGACGGCTGTAAGTAACTCCCCCACCCCCCACAGACACGCTTCCATAGCGCTCTGCCTGCTCCGCAGTAACATATTATCTACTGCTGGGAATCTGATGAGACGCTCTGCTGCTGATTGCTTTGGATGTCAGTTATAAAACGGAATATAAGTGTGTCTTTGGAAGAGTTTTTGGAGGAGAATTATAGAATCCATTTGACAGAAAAGACTCTCTGGGGAAACTTTTGTCAGAATAAGTGCAGGTGCACTTGTTTGGATAAGCCCAAGGTATGCGTGTGCATCTATTTAAACTAAATTTCACAATGCTTTTTAAGCAGGGATAGTAGGCTGGCCAAGCCATAGAGTCTCAGTTGGCCTGCTGGGATAGCGTCTGGCTCTTTGGTGTTAGACGGCTCTTCCCTATTGACCTTGTCATACACACTCACACACAAATGGAAGGCAAATAAATTCAGGTAATTACTTTGGCCATTGTGCCCTTTGGTAAACAGAGTAGTGGGGTATTTGAAATGACATCAGGTCAGACAGATGTGCTCTGCGGTGAGCATAATGTTACATGGAGGATGAGTTTGCCACCTTTTTAAATACAGAATACCGAATCACTTTAGAAATATAGTGATGCTTCAGTCTCTTAGCACTGTTTCCAAGTCTTTCCGACACATGCTGACAGAGGTGGCTGCCCCTGTAATTTAAGAAGGGAGTTTCCTCGTCGCTTGTCTTGTAATTGTATACCATTTTATGCAATTATCTGTGAGTCATTTCCTAATCCTATATTGCCATTTCTAATTTTATGTGTGAGTAATTTACTACGACTAAAGTGGAACTATTGCAAGTATACTTCAGGTAAACTTTAAATATCTTGAATTTCAAGATATTATACAGAGATCATACAATCCTTATTAATAGTGATATTAAAACACATTTTAGGCATAATATTAAGAAATGTGCATTTTGCAATAAAGAAATACTCCAAATAAAGTTAAATTATAATTTTATATCAGTACGTCTTAAGTGATATGTCAATAAAGATGTTAATTGATTGAAAGTATACTTAGTATGAAATAAATGTATTTTAAATAAATTATGACATAGTTTTTGTATTTTATTTTGTCTGTTAATTTTGTAATTTAAAGAAAGTATTATTGGCATATAAAGACTAAGAGATTCCCCCACTCACACTCAGTAACTAACATTATTATATTCTGCAATGTTATTGAAATGGTGTTACGTGTCAGTGTGATATGGATTAATGCAATTAGCAAATTGGAAATGCAGCAATTTATTTACACAAATATATAGTCTAATGCGCTGCATGTTTCAGAGTGATATGCAGCACTGTATTCTTTTATACGCTAGCAGCTCATGATTCAGTTATTTCAGTTTCTCAGTTTGCAGTAAAACTTTATCTTTGCTATAATAATAATAATAATAATAATAAATATTTTTTATTTTTATTACTAATGTTAAAGGAACACTCCACTATTTTTGAAAATAGGCTCATTTTCCAACTCCCCTAGAGTTAAACAGTTAAGTTTTAACGTTTTCGAATCCATTCAGCCGATCTCCGGGTATGCTAAGCTACAGCTAAAAGTGCTACTGCCAGACCCGGAGATCGGCTGAATGGATTCGAAAACGGTAAAACTCAACTGTTTAACTCTAGGGGAGTTGGAAAATGAGCCTATTTTCAAAAATAGTGGTGTTCCTTTAATAGAAATTTTTTTTATGTTGTTAATACATTTTGTTACATACCTGTATATTAAAAGTAAATGCTAAAATATAAAAAGAGATCTTTGTTTTGTCATTGTGGTTTTGAGGCATATTTAAATATGCAAAAATGTGATTGAGATTTTAAGCTATTGCAGATGGAACGATTTGCACAGAATAATGACTTCAGTTTGATCTGGTCCTCAAACAAAGCTGTTATATGGCTTTATAGAAGTCATATAGACTATTTTTGCAAGTCATATAGATACTTTTACAATTATTTTGAGTAATTTTTGGAACTTGCCAGGCCTCGTTACGATTCAAGTTCATTATATGGATTAGGGCTGTCAAAAAAAAAAAATAATAATTTCGAATATTCGTTGAATTTAAAATAAAAATCCACAATTTTAGGTGTGCGTTAAGGAGGCAACCTTATCAGTGGCGCACGAGATGTGATGGCGATGTAAGTGTCGTTGCATTATAATGTTTTTGTTAGCCAATCCAGTTGAAGCCACTAGATGCGGCGCTGCTGCGTTGTTCTTTCAAAATATTGCGGAAAAAGAGAACATCAATGCGGAGAAGATCTTGTTTACATCAAAACTGAAACCAAGCCGTTCACAAAGAACGCATATGTCGCGCATTTTCTATAGGGACATCTATCACCGTTGCACTCGCAGCTCGCACAAGGGAGCCGCATGTTTAGAAAGCCATGTAAAATTAATGCAAGTTTAACTTTGAAAAAAACATATATTGAGATTTTATGGTGGGGTTTTTTCCACATCCCAAAAATTTTGATAATATTTAAGTACAAAATTCGAATTTAGTTTTTCAGCCATTTTGACAACCCTAATGTGGATGAGATGGGCAGGACAATCTGCAAAATATTTCTTAGTAAATGATAGCAGAATTCAATTTTTTTTGCGTGAACTATTCCTTTAAACTTTTATATTTTATAGTGGGCGAGAGGGAAAATAACTAAGTGACAGAAAGAGACATAGATGGAAGGTGAGAAGGGTAGAGCTATAATTGCTGTGGTCTTGGGTCTGACCTGACCTTGCGCCAGAAGGAAACACAGTACGTGTGTAGAATTGAGCTGGTGACAGACCCTCTAATACTCTGTGCTGAAACATAGTTGTGTGTGAGTAATGTCCAATATTACTGGAGTGTCTATATGTCCATTAATTCCGGAGGTTGTTGACTCTATGTAAGGCAGAGAGAACCTAGTGGCTTTTCTCTAGCGACTCTAAAAGCAAAGTTTGCACACATCAACCTCTATCAAACACTCACACCCACAAATAGCCTGGAACCTCCAGCACACACACATAGACACACAGAAATAACACAGATCTGCTTCTCCCGCCGGGGAGAAAATTGGATTTTCGTGGATAAAGTAGTACATCGTTTAGGGGTTGCTAGAGAAGGGTGGGTGACCCCCCTCTGCCACAGTCAGCTAACACCAAGAAAAACTTAACCATGATTAAGACAGACAACTCACAGTGGGTGCTGGCCAATTTCCCCTCCTTCACATCCAAAAGAATGGATGTAATATAAGTGGAGGTTGAGGAAATAATCAATACTTTGGAGTATTGTGATACGTTACTGTTCATGGAAAAAAAAATCGAAATTGTTAGAATCGTTTTTTCACATTTTATGTTACTAGAAAAAAATAAGATTGACCACCAGATAGAGCAAGGCTGTCAAAAGGCAAAATGTACTGTGGAGAGCATGTGAGTGGTGTGAATTTGATTTCAGTTTGTGTTTGATTGAACCAAACCACACATTTTTAGAAAGTTGTTGTGTTTGTGTTTTACCCCTCCATCAAAAAGGGCTAATGGGCTAATTTTAGTGTATAAAAACCCTAAAACGTGTGTAGAAGTGTTATTGAAGTGATTTTATGTTGATGTGGACATATTGCGTAGTTGTGTTTGGAGAGTGTATGTGCTTTGCCTATTAATTGTTTCATTTGTGTTAACATGAGGAAACATGCTTATTGAGGAATGAGCGTGAGAATGGCTGCTAATCAAACACAAGGGAAAACCCATGAAATATTAATAACTGATTATATTGTAGTCAATGTATACTGCATTTTCTGTGAGGTTTTTGATTTTGTATGCATTTTTTGCTTTGTAAAATATAATCCATGTTCCATGATAACCTGT